TCCCTTAATGGCATGCATATGCTAGAAGTGGCAATGTCCTAGTAAAATAATTTCACATCATTATGGTGGTGGGGCGGGAAATGAAATATACTATTATCTTGTAGGTTTGATCCACCAGCCTAGGCAATGCTCTTACTGACGTTAACAGTGCAGTATCGGGTGCTGTATTCAATATGAAATCACACTTATAAACTTCTCTGTGTTATTCTGGAATGTCAGTAATTGGTCTGGTGAGGTGAGTGCACTGGGAGACCCATGTTTTCTAGTGGACTGTATATTCTGATCTGGAAGCATCTGGAATTTTACAATTCTGTGGAGCCAGTCATCAAACACACACATGGTGAAACTTCACTGGAGTCACTGGGGTGAAATTGTGCCACCATAATCGAATATGCCTTTCCGGCTGGTTTGAAAGGGCTGTCAACTGTGGCTGTAAAGACTCTAGCTTACCTGTCTTCAGGGTTGAAAGGAAATCTGCTCCCGTGACTGTGGTTTACGTACCATATGAAGAGCTTAGGCAGAGGCACGCAAGGAGCTAGCATAGTAGGACCATTCTAAACAGCAGGAGACAAAAATGTAGGTCTCCTGGGCACAAGTGAGTTGCTTTTGCATCTGGTCACGACAAGGAGAAGTATAGCATTGTTCTTCAGGTTAATGCAGAACTTGCATTAAAGGCCAGGCTGTATAGAGATATAGAATAGAGGATGAAAATGAGTGGTTTGGTAGTTTTGCATTTTAAGCTATACTTTTTATTTCCTTTCCTTGGACAAATGGGGCAGAGAGGTATTTAGGTGTGTGTGTGTTTACTTAGACAGAAAGGCATCTGACAAGTCTATGAGAGTCCTCAATGAATCTACAATTAGCTGGAAGTATTATCCCTTTTAGCCCAGGCAAGGACTCTTTGCTGCTGTGACATAAGCAGCTTCACGGATGATTGGAAGGTGTCCGAACCACTAACATGCTTAAAAATCATGCAGACAGAACTGATGCACTAGGCTTGACCCTGATTTCACGCTTTTATTACACACATGAAACCGAACTGATTCTGGATTTGCACTGATGTAATTGAATGGAGAATCCGACCCCGCGTTTCTTGGCTTTGCCTGCATGGAATATGGGTATTTGCTTTCTGACACAGCCAATCCTTTTATTTTTTAGAGTTACATAGCATTACCTTTATTCCCAGAGAGTAACAAATACTCCTTTAAAAGTGTCTAAACACATGAATTATTGTTTGTAAAGGTGAAGTGAATTATTTCCAAAAGTTACAAATCCCCCTTTCCGAGCAAACGATTTAATAATCATGCCAAATATTTTGTTTGAAATTTAACAGCAGAAATGACATGTGACTCTTGTAAATCATTTCTTTGAAGTGGGGCAGATCCTCAGCTGGTATAAATGGGTTTAGCTGCATTGACTGACTTAAAACCACTCTGATTCACGCCTGCTGACAGTCTGTCACTGAGCCTTTTCAGTGTAGTTGTCAAGCTGCGTGTTGATACAAAGATTGATGGGACTCTTATTATGCTGATATGTAGAAGGATATTATCTGGGGTTAAACATAACTGTGTTTAAGGATGAGGGATTTGATCCTGCAACCTTTAATCATATTGTGCTGCACTCACACCAGAAGTCCAACTGAAGCCATGAGCTTGTTCATGTGGGTAAGCCCTGCTGAATCTTAATGAGGGTTGCAAATTGGACAGTAGAGCCAAAGGAAAATAAATCTTTGTCAAGGTTCCTCCCCCACTCTGAACTCTAGGGTACAGATGTGGGGACCTGCATGAAAAACCTCCTAAGCTTATCTTTACCAGCTTAGGTCAAAACTTCCCCAAGGTACAAAATATTACACCCGTTATCCTTGGAATGGCCGCTACCACCACCAAACTAATACTGGTTACTGGGGAAGAGCTGTTTGGACGCGTCTTTCCCCCCAAAATACTTCCCAAAACCTTGCACCCCACTTCCTGGACAAGGTTTGGTAAAAAGCCTCACCAATTTGCCTAGGTGACTACAGACCCAGACCCTTGGATCTTAAGAACAATGAACAATCCTCCCAACACTTGCACCCCCCCCTTTCCTGGGAAATGTTGGATAAAAAGCCTCACCAATTTGCATAGGTGACCACAGACCCAAACCCTTGGATCTGAGAACAATGAAAAAGCATTCAGTTTTTACAAGAAGACTTTTAATAAAAAAATAGAAGTAAATAGAAATAAAGAAATCCCCCCTGTAAAATCAGGATGGTAAATATCTTACAGGGTAATTAGATTCAAAAACATAGAGAACCCCTCTAGGCAAAACCTTAAGTTACAAAAAAGATGCACAGACAGAAATAGTTATTCTATTCAGCACAATGCTTTTCTCAGCCATTTAACGGAATCATAATCTAACACATACCTAGCTAGATTACTTACTAAAAGTTCTAAGACTCCATTCCTGTTCTGTCTCTGGCAAGAGCAGCATACAGACAGACACAGACCCTCTGTTTCTCTCCCTCCTCCCAGCTTTTGAAAGTATCTTGTCTCCTCATTGGTCATTTTGGTCAGGTGCCAGCGAGGTTACCTTTAGCTTCTTAACCCTTTACAGGTGAGAGGAGCTTTCCCCTGGCCAGGAGGGATTTCAAAGGGGTTTACCCTTCCCTTTATATTTATGACAATCTTAAAAAATGAAACCAAACCCATTAGCAACAAAAAGTGATGTAAGATTTTACTAGGTTTGTGTCATGTCTCTTTTTCTCCAGATTTTCCACTGACTCAGGTTACTAATAGGGGGACAAGGAAGTAGGGAGTACATTAGTCATAATTGCAGGAAACGCCTTCCCAAATGCTGCTGCTTAGTTGCAGATGACCTGACTCTGATGCTGTTTTTCCGTTGCTCACCACCTGCTTCTTCCACTAACATAAAGAGTATTAGGTGTAGCCTCCAGCAGACTCATTAACAATGCAGAGATTTACTCAAGTGCTGTGTAACTTGTAACAAGCCCTTTAGAGAGGAACAATGGTCCAGTGGCTAGGACACTAACTTGCGACTTGGGTTTCTCCTCCGTCACTGACTTCCTATATGACCTTGGGCAAATCGCTTAGTCTCTTTGTGCTTTGGGCCCTCATCTGTAAAATAAGGATAACAGCACTGCTCCCCTCCCCCAGTGGTGTTGAGAAGATAAATACATTAAAGATTGTGAGGTGCATGGACAGGATCAGCCTTAGGGAAAATGGTGCCCAGGGCAAATTTGTATTTTGGCACCCCCCCGGCCCCTTTGCCCCTAGCTCCTGCACTCCCAGCCCTTGCACCCCCTTCACCCCTGCCCTCTCCTGTGCCCTAACTCCTACACTGTTCCCCTTTGCTCCTAACTCCTGCATTCCCCTCCTGCACCCCCAGCCACTGCCCCTTTTCTGCACCCTCTTCACCCCAACCCCTGCACCCCCGTCCTGAGCCCACGTGGGGAAACTGATCTGAATGCATGGAGCAGCTGACATTGCTGCCCACTCTCCCCGGAACGCTGCTCCTCTGCACACCCCTCGGGGGCTGGGTGGTGGGGGAAGCAAGGAGCGACGTCAGGGCTCCCTGCATCCAGGTCACTTTCTCCACCCGGGCTGCATAAGGGGAGGTCAGAGAGCAGCAGCTTCTGATGCTTGCCTCACAGCACAGCCCAGGTGGGGAAAGTGACCTGTATGCATGGAGCACTTGGTGTTGCTCCTCGCTCCCCCTCTAAACCCCCTATGGGGGCACAGAGGAATGTTGGGGGTGGGGGTGAGCTGTATCTGTGTGTCACCGCTTCCCCCGCCCCGCAATGTTCCTCCACTGGGAGGAAGCAGGGAGAAATCTGGAAGCCCCCCAGGAAGCAGTTTCTGACACTACATCAGCAGTGCACACGTTTGCACTGCCGCACGGCGCCCCCTAGACCACCGGGTGCCCTGGGCGGCTGCCTGGGTGGTCCACCCCTAAGGCCAGCCCTGTGCACAGATACTAGGAGAGAGGAGGCCTTAGAAGATCCTTTAATACAAGGAATTGTGTTGTTTTAATCACCAAGGAAAAAGCAGGTAACAACCTCTACTGACTTTGGATGTTTCTTTCTCTGTGCAGCACCGGTTTGAAAACGTAGCTATGTATGAATCAGTTGTAGCTGGTAATGTTAGTGAACCAGACAGGGCAATGGGTTGTATTTTGTGTTTTTATCCCATGTACGATTTATTACACAATTAGCTGCACATTAATGCACTGACTAAGCAAGTTCACTGTTTGCTTTCCATTTAAAGTCAGACCAAGAGGGTGCTTCTATGGGGATGTCTACACAGCATCTGGGAGAGAGCCTCCCAGATGGGGTCAACAGATTCATGCTAATGGGACTTGCACTCTAAAGATCACAGTGTAGGCAGTACTTTTACACTGCAATTCAGGCTGGAGCTCACCCCCTCCCTAGGCTTGGGCTGGAGCTTGGGTGCTCAACCCGCAACATAAAAGCACCACCTACACAGCCAGTTTTAAAGCCCTTGCACAAATCTGTTGACCCGGGCTGGGAGGCTTGCTCCCAGATGCTGTGTAGACATATTCCAAGTGAGTGACATCCAATTCTGGTGAAGCCCTCATAGTTAAATCATCAGTATTTTAAATGGAAAACACATAACCTTTAATGTAAATGTCCTGGGGCCCCAGTCCTGCTGCCATTGACATCAAAGGGAAGTTTTCCATTCTAGCCTGAAGCTGCATTCACTTTTCTGCTGAGCCCTCCCTACTCCCTTGAAATTGTCCTCTTCTGTGTCCACAGGGGGCAGGCATGCTGTAGTGTGCATTTAGAGGGCATTCCAAAGGCTGTGAGAGTTTGGAGGAATCCAAGGTTACAGTTCCATTTGGGCTATGCTGCCAGAGAGACAGTGGGGGGGCCAGGGGTCTCCACACACCAGGCCCCTAACCACAGCTAGATTCACCTGCAACCGCTTGAACTTATCATGTATGATGCTGCAGAAACAATAACATTGCTGATCCCTTCCCTTGAACAGCCCCCTGTGTTGTTGGTGAGCGAGCATTTAAGATGTCACTGAGCAGTGAAAGAAGAGTAAATACCTCGACGCTGAAGAAAATTGCTGCAGACATGAGCAATTTAATAGAGAACCTGGACACCAGGGAGCTTCACTTTGAGGGGGAAGAGGTGGATGCTGACATGTTAAATGATCCAAAAACAACCGGTGAGTTAGTAGTGTCCATCTGTTTTCACCATATGTCCCACTAGGATTTAGAAATGCAGTTCCGCTGAGGCGAAGATGAAGCTTTCAGTTAGATGGTGTTAGGGAGTGTGGGTGGAGAGAGTGTGAGAGAGTGGGCCAGGATTTTGAAGCTCTTGTGGGCCCCCGTGAAACTGTGCTTGGTTCTTTAGGGCTGTGAAAACTTTAAAGTGATGGCGTCATCTTGCAAAGTACTATGTGACGCCTACAAAAAACTTAGTGATGCCCTCAACCTAAACTGGGAGTTGAGGGTGTTCAGCATCATGAAGGATCAGACCTGGATTTGAGAATTCAGAGCACCTTGTAGGAGTTGCTCATCAAGAATGAGCCATAAGAAGCACATCCAAGGCCCATTAAAATCAGTGGAAAGACTCCTACTGGTTCCTATAAGCTTTGGATCAGGCCTAAAGTAAGCTTTAAGATTTAATTTGGATTTCCTTTAATTTGTTGTGTTTTAAGGTATAAACCCTTCATTTCATTTTGGCACAGCAGCTGCACATCACTGCACCTGTCTGTCTGTCATCTATGCATTTCTAGCTATCTAATAAAGGCAGGTGGCTTTTTTGTTTGATTGTTTTTGTTTTTAAACAGGATTAATGTTTTTTTCTAATCTACTTGAGGTTTTTGACACTTAGCTGTGTCAGAACTCTTTAAAATAATACGTACAAACTACCTTGAAACTGGTCAAATGCTGCTTCTTGTCTTGCCTACAATTTCCATTAGTACCTGGGTAACCTGTTGCAAATTGCAGAAGTTGATGAATAAGTAAGTCTGCAAACATACACAAATATCCCCCCCCAAAAAAACCTTCCTACACAAAACACCCTTTTGTTCACTTATTTGACAAGTGTAATTTAATTTTAACTATTCCTGATAACACCTCATAATACATCAGTAAACATCCTGTAATATATTTTGTAACATGGATGAAGACTTAGTGATAGAAGACCTCATCACAGCACTTTGCTATTAAATCTTTGCTGAGGAGATGGGTGAGGCTGCTCATTTGGTGCATGAATTATGGAATTTGTTGCTTACCTCCGTGCAAACTGCTGAGGTTTTACTGTATTTCTCAAGGTAACCATTGACCCTATCTAATGATAAGAAAGTGCTATATCTGGCATTTGAACTCTTAAAGTCAGATCACTTAATTCGAAGGCTTCTATGAGCTTAGGTGCAATACATTTGAATAAGGCATGATATGCATTGGGGAAAAATAAGACTACAGAACTTCAAGATTTTATATAATCATTATTAACTTGTTACATTATCCCTTGGCTATTACACTCTTATTCATAGTTTAAAATAGTGTTAAGCTAATTGCTATTTTATGGTCATTTGCAGTGGGCATCCCATTCTCTGCAATTTATAACACTCAAGGGTTCAAAGAGCCTCATATACAGACATATCTAACCGGATGTCCAATTAAAGTCCGAGTTCTGGAAGTAGAACGCTTTACCTCAACAAAAAAGGTCAGAATATGAATGTTATTGGAACATTGTTTTAAATCCCAATCCCATTTTTAATTTCATGCTCCTATTACCATGTTAACACATCACATACAAGTTAAGTTTCTGTAAATCAGCTAGTGGGTTTTAGAAAATATGAATAAGTCTGTATGGGAATAACTCTATCAAGGACAATATGAATAATCTTTGCCTGTTCTGTTTGGAGTCTAATAAAAATTATAACTAAAAGTAATAAGAAATGGAAATACCTTTAAATAAAAAATGATAAACTCTAGAGTATTTAATGCTAGAAGATTACCCATTGAGTACTGAAACACTGGTGCTATTCTTTCTTGTAGGTACCAAGTCCAAATGTTTACACTATTGAATTCACACATGGGGACTTTACATGGCAAGTGAAAAGGAAATTCAAGAACTTTCAAGAATTTCACAGGGAACTGCTGAGATACAAAGCCTTCATACGAATTCCTATCCCTACAAGGAGGTAACTATTTTATGCAGTCTTACAAATATGGTTCAAGGCCCAAATTGCACTGGAAAGACGTGAAAAGCCTGATTCTCACATGTGTAACTCCATTGACTTCCAAGAATCACTCCTGATTTACCTGGTATAAAAGAGAGGAGAATCAGGCTCAAAATCAACATAATAGCAAGCAGCAGTAATCTGAATGATCCAATGATCTCTCTCTTGCAAGATGTAGAAAGCATGTGGGACATTTTGTGCAGTCAGTTTTTTAAGCAGAATTTCCCATCGAAATCATTGGGTCGTTGTGCTTCAAAATTTATGGCACAATGTGGTCTCTTACCTTTAAGGCCTTATATCTGAGCGTGCTGAGCTCTCTCAGTTCCTCTTCCCAGTGACTCTAATGAGGTGCTCAGAGCTGGCAGGACTGGGCCCAAGGAGTGGGACAGAGCTCCAAACATAAAGAGAGTCGTGGAGAGAGGCCTGAGTGGTGGAGTGTTACAAAAGGATAGTTTGGCATGGGAAGACTGTAGGAAGCTAGGGGGCAGAAGAGGAAACAAGAGTAAGGATTTTGGTAAGGGTAGAGATATGAAAGGATAAGGATTAGTGAAACATAATGGTCCAAGAACATGGTCCAAATTCCTTTCTGCTTAAATAGGCAAAACTCATTTGAAGTCAGTGGATCTGTGGCCACATTTGCATCAAAGGAGAATTTGGTCCAATATCCTCTGCTTTTTGCATTGTATTTTCGTTTGAATTGATTTGTACACAATGATTTGTTAGACGATTTTACGCCTACCCTTATCTTTCCTCGCTACCTGTCCCTCATTTTATAATAAAGTTTTAAATAGAATGTCAGGACTTTTGTGTCAGAGGAAAAGACACTCACGTTCTACTGATCAGACAAATAATCTGGGATTTTTTTTCTTCCAGTCACACAGTTAGAAGACAAAGTGTCAAAAGGGGAGAAGCGAGGCAGATGCCAAGTCTGCCACGCACGTCTGAGAACATGGTCCGAGAAGAACATTTTTCTAGTAGAAGAGTAAATGTCCTTCCTTCTTCTAAATACTCTGTTCAGAGATGTGGGTGTGCTGATAGAAGGGAGGCTGTTGACATGTTGTGCTGTCCATTTTATTCTTGGGATTTTTCTGACTTTCACTCTGGGGGGCCAGCTTGTTTGCTGAGCTGTGTTCTGACCAAGTTCAGATGCCTTCTGTTTTGCTAGTGGTAAATTCTTCTGCTTGGTGAACCGAAACTCTGCCAAGTTTAGAGTCAAATTGTCCCTGCTCAGAAAGTGGAAGAGACTGCCTCACGGAGCACTCCCTCTGCTAAGATCTGAGTTATTTCCCCTTTGCTGGGATATTGTGGGGCAGTGGAGGGTTTGCTACATGCATATGTATATGTATATTTTTTTTTCATTCAAGCGGTGGCTTGTTTTTGATTCTCTTCATTACTTCCTGTAGCTATATAATTAGATTTTTATAGTAATCCCTACATCCTATCTAAAGTTTTCATGCTTGCATTGTAGAAACAATTGGAAGACTACTTGACAAAGATCTTAAAAATGCCCATGTACAGGACCTACCATGGAACGGTAAGTAGTCTGTACAATAGCTTAAGCAACAAATGAATATTCTTTTCATGTATAAGTACTTAACTGAGAGAAATAAATCTTGTCGTTTACTCTGAGGTATATTAAAAGCATTTTGCAGCCATTTTTATTAGGGCAAATATTTTCTCCAACGTCCTTGTGAATCTGATTATAACCAAATAAAATGCTATACTATCAAGCTATTGGGGTGTCACAACTACAACACATTATGACAACCTGCTTGTTAAGGGCAGTCTTGTGCAGACAGCTCATTACACATGTAATGTGACTGGGTTCTGATTGGTTCTGGGTAGCATTTAAGATGTTTGGTTGGAGGTTCAAATGCCTAAATAATTGGGGTCTCTGCTATGTGTCAGATGTTACCTTCACTTTGGGAATCTTGTGAATTTAACCTCATAGGGCCAAACTGTGCTTTGGCTTATATCCCTAACAACCCCATTGACTTCAGCAAGTTTGTGTTGGTATTAATAAGAGGAGAATTTGGCACCCTGGCTTCCCCAAGTAATTCATCACCTCCACAGGGACATGGTAATCTATATGTTCCCTCATTCCTATGAAACCTCATTGAAGTCAGATGGTTCATGTTATATCCAAAATTTGGCCCATATTGTGCAAGAATTTGTCTCTTGAAAGCCATTTTATGTTCTTGGAGTTTCACCTCATTGACTGTCCACATTTCTCACGTGCTAGTTGTAGGAGACTTTAGAGGCCATAATTGTATGTGAATAACATTCCACTGCCATGGCCATTTATTCCCCCTTCTCCTGACCCCACATAAAGGATTTATTACTTCTCTTCTGTATCATCACCAAAAATTGGTTTGTTGCAGAACTTACTGAATAAGCAGAGGCAGTTTATCCTTCTAAGCAAGACAAAACAATTGAGTACACTTGGTTTTAAAATGAGACAGAAACGTAGACTCAACTTTACATCTTTAAGGGGGTACATCTGCTCACTATGTGTACTGTTGTTTCAATGTTCCCCATGCCAAATGTATCTGTTATACAGGGCAAAAATAACCTCCCATGCTGGCCAATATGTTAATGTTACAGTGGGAAATCTGCACCTCAAATGAACTGGCTGCCATTTAGAGAATCTCTGCTGTTGTGGACAGTGGTGTATGCTGAGAGGGGGAGATTTAATTCAGAGTATGTGGCATTGGATCCATTTTGCCACTCCCGTGTGCAGGCATTGCCTTGTCAGATCTCTCTGATATTGTCCACTAATCTAACAACGCCAGAGACTTCTTGATTAAGTCCTGGTTGGAAACAGGATGTTAGGGAAAAAAAATACTAAACATGCATTATCTGCACCCTGGGCCCTCTGCAGGTAAAGCCTATGGACCATGAGCAGCTGTGTTTTTCTCTCCCATCTTTCTCCAGTGCAGCTCCTGTGATGGGTTTGGTCACAGAGATCCCCTTGGGACTGTCACCTGATGTGCTGAAATTACCTCTGAGCCCATTTTCCCTGCCAGCTTGGGACTCCAGAACCCTGCCTTGTTGAGCCAGACATGCTAGCCTGCTGCAACACAGAACCAGGTCTGGTCCATGCCCCCAAAGCGGCAGACTTTAACTAAAAACAGCTCAGCAGGTTACCTGTCTCCAGCACCCAGACACCCAGTTCCCAATGGGATCCAAACCCCAAATAAATCCGTTTTACTCTGTATAAAGCTTATACAGGGTAAATTCGTAAACTGTTCACCCTCTGTATCACTGATAGAGATGCACAGCTGTTTGCTCCCCCATGTATTAATCACTTACTCTGGGTTTATTAATTAAAAAAAGTGATTTTATTAAGTATAAAAAGTAGGATATAAGTGGTTTCAAGTAATAACAGCCAGAACAAAGTAAGTCACAAAGCAAAATAAACAAAACACGCAAGTCTAAGCCTAATACACTAAGAAACTGATTACAGGTAATATCTCACCCTCAAAGATGTTCCAATAAGCTTCTTTCACAGCCCAGACTCCTTCCTAGTCTGGGCCCAATCCTTTCCCCAGTATAGTCTTTGTTATATATCCAGCAGACATCTCAGGTGGTAAGCAGGGGTTTTCTCATGACTGGCAGCCTCTTTTGTCCTGCTCCACCCCCTTTTGTAGCTTTGACAGAAGGCGGGAATCTTTTGTCTGTGCTTGTCCCCACCCCCGCCTTATCAATGGAAAAGTACAAGGATTAAGATGGATTCAATAGCATGTGACATAGTCACCTGTCACTGTAAGACCCCCTAGTCTTCATTCTTCCTGGGTTGGCCCACAGGTACACAGGAGGGCTTGCAGGTAAATAAACCATTTACAACCAGTTGTCCTAGTCAATGTGAGCCATCAAGATTCTAAACCACCATTAATCGCCCACACTTTGCATAATTACAATAGGACCTCAGAGTTATACTTAAAAAGAAAAGGAGGACTTGTGGCACCTTAGAGACTAACCAATTTATTTGAGCATAAGCTTTCGTGAGCTACAGCTACAGCTCACGAAAGCTTATGCTCAAATAAATTGGTTAGTCTCTAAGGTGCCACAAGTACTCCTTTTCTTTTTGTGAATACAGACTAACACGGCTGTTACTCTGAAAAGAGTTATACTTCATATTTCTAGCTTCAGATACAAGAATGATACATGCATACAAATAGAAGGAATATATTCAGTAGTTTATAACCTTTGTTATGATGGGTTACAAGAGACCTTTTGCATAAAGCATATTCCAGTTACATCATATTCACACTCATAAGCATATTTCCATAAAACATATGGAGTGCAACATCACAGCTCCATTCTGTCCCTGGCCAGCAGAGACAGATATTGTTCTGTACGTACATTCTTAGATCATTGGCTGGCTTTCAATGGATTTGACTTCTGCGAAGCATTCAGTGAGAACTTGCCTTGTGATGTTGGCTGCACTGCTTAGTGCAACAGGGGGTGCAGCTGATGGGAAAAGAGAGATGCTGGGAACAAAACATTTATTCATTTAATTTAAGATGATAGTTCTCAGACCAGAGACAAAGCTGCAGATTTCTTGATGTTCATCGTGGACTAGCGTCTGTCCTTCTTACAATAGTACGGGTGTGTTGCTGTTCTTGTGTTCAAAAAGTCCGTCACTTGAAAATGGAGAGATGTGCTGCTTGTTTTGCTGCCTGCGCAAATTTTGGCTCCTGTGTGTTAGGCTCTGCAAATCCTCGGGCTGAGGTCCAGCTAGATCTTTGGCTTGTAGATGTCTCCAACTGAATTCTTTGCAAGTTCAGGCACGGGGTTAACTTGAGTGATTCATAAAGGCCAGATGACCCATGTGATTTATTGCCCCCTGAATCTTGTGAGGATCCTCTTTCTGCTAATCCAGTCCCCTAGAGGCATTTTAACAACTGATCTGGACAATTCCATTCATTCTGGCTATGTTTTTATTTTGTATTTGTGGCTTGTGTGTTTTGTTCATTTGTATATAATTGGCTCAGCTTGGATGACCTTGGCAGACTTAACTGGTAGCTCTTTTCACCCTTGTTGAGGAGTTCAGGGCTATGAAGCACTGTGGGATGTAAAGGGACTTACATAATGTGTTGAATATACAACTCGTGTCTAAATGTTTTGCCCGCAAACTAGAAAATAGTATGCCCCTAAACATTGTTTAGTGATGTAACAAGGGCTGCACTCTTTGACTATGTAACCCTAAGTGGGAAAGTTTATAACTGTCTCCTCAAATTTTTCTTAATGGAATATTTGTGTGTTTGCTGTTGTGGCAGGGTATTAGACATGGAGCTGGCAGCTAGTTGAGGGTATAGTTAACATTGTCTGTTATGATAATCAGATACATCATGATAATCCGATACAGGGAATTGGGGCAGTTGGGCAAGTGTGGCCCAAATACCTTGTAAAGGCGTTTCTATGGGCTTGATCTGAAGTTAAATGGAAAGACTCCATTGATTTTAATTGCCTTTGGATCAGGACATATATGAGCTTGATAGTTAAAAGATTCCGAAATAACGCTAGTTTAAACCAGTAAGTGTCCATGCAGCCTTTTGCACTGGCTTTACAAAATCAGTTTAAAATTACACTTCAAATTAAAGCAGTGCAACAAGATAAGTCGAATGAGTTTTTCACAGCTATACAATTAAAGAACACTTCATGCACCCAACTGTGGTTGCTATTTAAGGCTCTTATCCTGCAATTAGATCTGCTAGGGCAGACCCCTGCAGCCATGCAGAGCCCCACACTGCCAGATCTGATTACAGGACTGGGGCTTTTGAACATGGAATTGTAGCAAACAAGAATAATGTTTACATGTGCATTTAGTATAAAGCAATTTTTCTGTGTATGATAAAATTAGAATACTGTCCTAGAACATTGTTATTCTGAGCACTGGTGAAGTAGTGTATTATTATGTTGCCAGAGCTACTAGTGAACTATTTGTTTTATCATTGTTAAAAAAAACTAGAGCTGCAATGAAAAACAGACTTTGGAACTGCTGAACCCTACTTAAAAAGGCAATGTCATCTGAACAATCTTTCTTAAAATCTTGCTTAAATATATCATAAGTGCTTGGTTCAGCAGAGGGAAAAAAAGATGGTTAAAATGTCTCGTGTCTCCACCTTGCAGCTGTTATTTCATTTTTCATAGCTCGTTTGCTCTTCAGCTGATCTCCCATGTCTGTTCCCACCCCCCCTTGTTACAATATCATTGAAACTTCAGTCCCCCATCTCAGAGTTAAAATATTTTGATGCAGATCACTGTGAAACCTGAGTGGGATGTCGGGTCACCACAACAACAGCTGAGTAGTGTAAGGATTCAAATGTAAAGGAGACAAAAGGGTACTGCTCTCCTACTACCCTCTATTTCAGTTTTCTTTGTGAATTATGAGATCCTCAGATTAAAGGCACTGTACCAGTAAAAGTATTTAACAAAATAATAAAATTGATAATGATATCACCTAATCATATTTTTTCATTCCATTAAATAACATTTCCTGTAATCTACAGGATTTTTCCATATTGAAGC